CATTGAACGCACATAGTAGTGACACCCAGAAAATAGTCAGTGATATTCGAATGAATGTTTTAGCTGCTAAAGAAAACAGATTTGAAATTAAATTCCTATGGATACCATCACATGTTGGCATCTCAAGGCATGACACTGTTGATATGCTTTCAAAGACAGCCTGCAAAAAACCAGTGGTAGAAATTGATATGGGTGTTTCATTAGCAGTGACAAAGAGAATACTTAAACAAATATCTAATGAAGATCTCACAGACCTAACAAATTCACAAAGACCGGAAAGTTGTAGCATTAAATATTATGATAGATATCGTGAGGAGACATTCACATATGGGACCAATAGAACAAGAATCCGGCAATGTGATGTTTTAGTGGCCAGAATACGCCTGGGATATAGACGTATCTGGCAGCTTTCTCAAAACCCAAATGTCCAGTACACAATGTGTCAACTTTGTGAAAGAGAAAACATGCACTCTCTTGAACATTATATTGTAGAATGTCCCATATTGACTGACTTTCGCCCTCCGGGGCTAAGGTATGCTGAACTGTGTAATTACTATATGAGTACTGGAACACTTGATGATATATTGGACTTGTACCCAAGATTAACCATGTAATGTATCAATTATATAATGTATGTATGTGATATAACTATATAACCTGAGCTTGTAAAAGCACCTTCATCACCTTCAGTGATTAAGTGCTTAATTGCACACTAGTTTCTCTATCAGCTATCTCACTCTGTCAGAGTAAGAGAGACAAATGTATGTGAATGCATATGTGTGTGTGTATATATGTATGTATACATGTATGTGTATATGTATGTGTACATATATGTGTGTGTGTGTGTGTGTATGTATATGTATGTGTATAAAGTATATATGGAAGCCGATCCGAATTACATTTCACCTTTGTAAATGCACATTAATGACACTATGTAAAAGACACATCGCACACTTTATGTACGGCATACGTAAATCTGTGTATCTATGTATTTACGTATGTAGGTTAGCTTAGTATTTTAAAAGCACCGAATCACCTTCTGTGGTTGAGTGTTCAATAAACCCTTGAACTATATGTTTAACACATCTCTAACCCTGTCCATGGAAGACAGAAGAAAATGTATATATGCTGGTTAGCATTGTAAATGTGTGGCCACGTTTGTGGTAGAAAATAATAATACAAAAAAAAAACTCCATTGCCACTATTAATACCATCATTATACTACTTCTACCACCATCGCTAACACCATTCATACCATCACTGGTCCCCCGCCCACCACCACCACCACTACTACTAAAAGCACCACTACTACAAGCACCACCACCACCACTACAAGCACCACCACCACCACTACAAGCACCACCACCACCACCACACAACCTCACCACACCACCACTACACACCACCACCACCACCACTACAAACACCACCACCACCACTACACGCACCACCACCACCACCTACACCAACACCACCACCACCACTACAACGCACCACCACCACCACTACACACCTCACCACCACCACTACAAACACCACCACCACCACTACACGCACCACCACCACCACTACACGCACCACCACCACCACTACACGCACCACCACCACCACTACACGCACCACCACCACCACCACAAGCACCACCACCACCACTACACGCACCACCACCACCACTACAAGCACCACCACCACCACTACAAGCACCACCACCACCACTACACGCACCACCACCACCACAACAAGCACCACCACCACCACTACAAGCACCACCACCACCACTACACGCACCACCACCACCACTACAAGCACCACCACCACCACTACACGCACCACCACCACCACTACACGCACCACCACCACCACTACACAACACCACCACCACCACTACACACTCACCACCACACACTACCCACCACCACCACTACACAACACCACCACCACCACTACACAACACACCACCACCACCACTACAGACACCACCACCACCACTACAGACACCACCACCACCACCACTACAGACAACACCACCACCACCACTACACAACACCAACACCACCACTACAGACACCAACACCACCACTACACCACCACCACCACCACTACAGACACCACCACCACCACTACACAAGCACCACCACCAACACCACCAAGCACCACCACCACCACTACACAACACCACCACCACCACTACACGCACCACCACCACCACCTCACCACACCACCACAACCTCACCACCACCACCACTACACGCACCACCACCACCACTACACACACCACCACCACCACCACACGCACCACCACCACCACAACCACCACCACCACCACTACACCACCACTACACCACTACACAACACCACCACCACCACTACACGCACCACCACCACCACTACACCACACCACCACCACCACTACACGCACCACCACCACCACTACAACCACCACCACCACCACTACACGCACCACCACCACCACCACTACACACCACCACCACCACCACCACCACCACCACACAGCACCACCACCACCACTACACGCACCACCACCACCACTACACAGCACCACCACCACCACTACAACACCACCACCACCACCACTACACCACCACCACCACACAAGCACCAACCACCACCACCACCACCACACAAGCACCAACCACCACCACCACACACAGCACCACCACCACTACACACCACCACCACCACCACACCACACCACCACCACCACCACCACTACACCACCACCACCACCACCACTACACAACCTCACCACCACCACCACCACCACCACTACAACCACCACCACCACACACCACCACCACTACCAGCACCACCACCACCACCACCACCACTACACAGCACCACCACCACCACCACCACCACCACCACACCAAGCACCACCACCACCACCACCACCACCACCACTACAAGCACCACCACCACCACTACAGCACCACCACCACCACTACACAAGCACCACCACCACCACTACACGCACCACCACCACCACTACACAACACCACCACCACCACCACCACACCAGCACCACCACCACCACCACTACACAACCACCACCACCACCACACACAGCACCACCACCACCACTACAAGCACCACCACCACCACTACACAAGCACCACCACCACCACCACACAAGCACCACCACCACCACTACACAGCACCACCACCACTACCACCACCACCACCACCACCACCACCACCACCACAACGCACCACCACCACCACTACACAACGCACCACCACCACCACTACAAGCACCACCACCACCACTACACACTCACCACCACCACCACTACACAAGCACCACCACCACCACTACAAGCACCACCACCACCACCACAAGCACCACCACCACCACTACAAACCACCACCACCACCACTACACAAGCACCACCACCACCACCACACAACACCACCACCACCACTACACAACCACACCACCACCACCACCACACACGCACCACCACCACCACTACACAACGCACCACCACCACACACAACCTCACCACCACCACCACCACCACACAACCTCACCACCACCACTACACCGCACCACCACCACCACTACAGCACCACACCACCACCACACACAACACCACCACTACACGCACCAACACCACCACTACACCACCAACACCACCACACCACAAGCACCACCACCACCACCACACTACACCACCACCACCACCACTACACAGCACCACCACACCACCACTACACAACACCACCACCACCACTACACACTCACCACCACCACCACTACACCGCACCACCACCACCACTACACCACCAACACCACCACCACAAGCACCACCACCACCACTACACGCACCAACACCACCACTACACGCACCAACACCACCACCACCACTACACGCACCACCACCACCACCACAACACAACACCACCACTACACGCACCACACACCACCACTACACCACCACCACCACCACTACCACCACCACCACCACCACCACAAGCACCACCACCACCACTACACGCACCACCACCACCACCACTACAGCACCACCACCACCACTACACACGCACCAACACCACCACTACACAACCTCACCACCACCACTACACGCACCAACACCACCACCACACGCACCACACACCACCACCACAACCACCACCACCACCACTACACGCACCACCACCACCACACAACCGCACCACCACCACCACCACACAACACCACCACCACCACTACACGCACCACCACCACCACCACCACAACCATCACCACCACCACCACTACACAACCTCACAACCACCACCACTACAACGCACCACCACCACCACTACACGCACCTCACCACCACCACCATACAACACCACCACCACCACTACACGCACCACCACCACCACACAACCACCACCACCACCACTACACCACCACCACCACCACACACCTCACCACCACCACCACTACACACACCACCACCACCACTACAAACACAACCACCACCACTACAATCATCAAGTATCGCAACAATCTCGAGCACCCACACTAACACCACCATCACCTACAACCTTTACCAACCTTCATAATCCTTATCATAACTACCACACACCAACACAACCACAACCATTGCAGGCACCAACCCGTCCTCCTAAGGTTCCCCAGCGTCAAGAAACCGTCGTACTAAAGTGCCTATATACTAACTTACCAGAGGACACACGAACAGGAAACGGGACAGTGTGTCAATTTCGCGAACATATACGTCAAAATGCGACGTTCTGTTAGGAGATCGGGTTGGCCACCTCCACTACAGCACCTAAAATAAAATCCTACAGTACAACATTTACACACAACCACCACTACTGCAACCACCACTACCACAACCAACACGACGACCATTAAGCAACCCAACATCATAGCCACCACAACCATGACTTCCCCCAACACCATTACCACAACCACTAGCATCACAAACCTAAACACCAACACTACCCTCACCACAACTACTGACTACCACAACTACCAGCGAATACACCAGCTGAGCGTCGAAGCGGCACCAGGAAGAACCAGTGGTGGAATACAGCTTCACGTGGTGAGTGAGACTGGGGTCTACCCCGAGGGTACTCCCGCCACGGTGATAACCACGGTGAGTTTCCTCCAGGATATCCTCACTATATTATGTACACTCCCACCACCACCATCACCTCAGCTGCCCTTCACTACACCTTCCTTCCTCACCCCCATCACCCACCTCCACCCTCAGCCCCTACACTTACACTCTGATTCCTTCATCCACCACTCTTCCACCCAGACCCCCCACTCTTCCACCCTGACCCCCCTTCACTCTTCACCATGACTCCCCACTCTTCACCATGACCCCCCACTCTTCCACCCTGACCCCCCTTCACTCTTCACCATGACTCCCCACTCTTCACCATGACCCCCCACTCTTCCACCCTGACCCCCCCACTCTTCCCCATGACTCCCCACTCTTCCCCATGACCCCCCACTCTTCCACCCTGACCCCCCCCCTTCACTCTTCACCATGACCCCCCACTCTTCACCATGACCCCCCATGACTCTTTCCCATGACCCCCCTACTCTTCCCTATGACCCCCCACTCTTCCCCATGACCCCCCACTCTTCCCCATGACCCCCCACTCTTCCCCACCCACCCCCCCCCCCACTCTTTCCCATGACCCCCCACTCTTTCCCATGACCCCCCTACTCTTCCCTATGACCCCCCACTCTTCCCCATGACCCCCCACTCTTCCCCATGACCCCCCACTCTTCCCCATGACCCCCCCACTCTTCCCCATGACCCCCCCACTCTTCCCCATGACCCCCCCACTCTTCCCCACCCCCCCCCCCCCCCCCACTCTTCCCCCATGACCCCCCCACTCTTTCCCCATGACCCCCCCACTCTTCCCTCATGACCCCCCCACTCTTCCCCATGACCCCCCCACTCTTCCCTCATGACCCCCCCCACTCTTCCCTCATGACCCCCCCCACTCTTCCCCATGACCCCCCACTCTTCCCCATGACCCCCCCACTCTTCCCTCATGACCCCCCCACTCTTCCTCATGACCCCCCCACTCTTCCCTCATGACCCCCCCCCCCACTCTTCTCTCATGACCCCCCCACTCTTCCCCCATGACTCTTTCCCCCCCCCCACTCTTCCCCCATGACCCCCCCACTCTTTCCTCATGACCCCCCCACTCTTCCCTCATGACCCCCCCACTCTTTCCCCATGACCCCCCCACTCTTCCCTCATGACCCCCCCCCACTCTTCCCTCATGACCCCCCCACTCTTCCCCCATGACCCCCCCCCACTCTTCCCGATGACCCCCCACGACCCCGACCCCCCCCACTCTTCCCTCATAACCCCCCCACTCTTCCCCATGACCCCCCCACTCTTCCCCATGACCCCTCCACTCTTCCCCATGACCCCCCCCCCCACTCTTCCCCATGACCACCCCCACTCTTCCCCATGACCACCCCCACTCTTTCCCCATGACCCCCACTCTTCCCCATGACCCCCCCACTCTTTCCCCATGACCCCCCCACTCTTCCCCATGACCCCCCCCACTCTTCCCCGTGACCCCCCCCCCCACTCTTCCCCGTGACCCCCCCACTCTTCCCCATGACCCCCCCCCCCCCACTCTTCCCCATGACCCCCCCCACTCTTCCCCATGACCCCCACTCTTCCCCATGACCCCCCCCACTCTTCCCCATGACCCCCCACTCTTCCCCATGACCCCCCCACTCTTCCCCATGACCCCCCCCCACTCTTCCCTGTGACCCCCCACTCTTCCCCATGACCCCCCACTCTTCCCCATGACCCCCCCCCTTCCCCATGACCCCCCCCACTCTTCCCCATGACCCCCCCCCACTCTTCCCCATGACCCCCCACTCTTCCCCATGACCCCCCACTCTTCCCCATGACCCCCCCCACTCTTCCCCATGACCCCCCCACTCTTCCCCATGACCCCCCCACTTTTCCCCATGACCCCCCACTCTTCCCCATGACCCCCCACTCTTCCCCATGACCCCCCCCACTCTTCCTCATGACCCCCCCACTCTTCCTCATGACCCCCCCACTCTTCCTCATGACCCCCCCACTCTTCCCCATGAACCCCCCACTCTTCTCCATGACCCCCCCACTCTTCCTCATGACCCCCCCACTCTTCCCCATGACCCCCCACTCTTCCCCATGATCCTCCTCACTCTTCCCCATGACCCCCCACTCTTCCCCATGACCCCCCCACTCTTCCCCATGACCCCCCACTCTTCCCCATGACCCCCCACTCTTCCCCATGACCCCCCCACTCTTCCCCATGACCCCCCACTTTTCCCCATGACCCCCCATTCTTCCCATGACCCCCCCACTCTTCCCCATGACCCCCACTCTTCCTCATGACCCCCCACTCTTCCTCATGACCCCCCCACTCTTCCTCATGACCCCCCCACTCTTCCCCATGACCCCCCACTCTTCCCCATGCCCCCCCCACTCTTCCTCATGACCCCCCCCACTCTTCCCCATGACCCCCCCCCCCCACTCTTCCCCATGATCCTCCTCACTCTTCCCCATGACCCCCCCACTCTTCCCCATGACCCCCCCCCCACTCTTCCCCATGACCCCCCCACTCTTCCCCATGACCCCCCACTCTTCCCCCCCCCCTCTCTTCCCCATGACCCCCCCACTCTTCCCCATGACCCCCCCATTCTTCACCATGACCCCCCCCACTCTTCCCCATGACCCCCCCCCCCACTCTTACCTTTCACTAATGTTTTCCTTCACTACATGACTCTGCAGCTAATTTTCGTACTTATTTTCCTCATTGTTTCTTTCCTCATTACTGCCGACCTTCATGTTCACTACTTGAAACGGTTTCGGGGATCATCTCCCCGCGGCCCGGTTTCTGACCAGGCCTCCTGGTTGCTGGTTTGATCAATCAGGCTGCTCGGTGCGGTTGCTCGCAGCCTGGTTGATCAGGTATCCTCTGAAGGTGCTTGTCGAGTTCTCTTTTGAACACTGCGAGAGGTCGGCCAGTTATGCCCCGAATGTGTCGGGGAGGTGAATGCTGAAAAGTTTTGGGCTTCTGATATTGATCGAATTCTCTCTCAGCGTGAATGTTGCACCCACTATCACCTCATCACTGCCACTTGTCAACATCGCTACCACCTCATCACTACCACTATCAGCACCACCATACAGTCAGGGATGCTGGGACCTGCACAGCATCACCAGCAGACGGTCAGGGAGAGCACATCGTGTATGGTCTGGTGTTCATGGATTCTTGTGTTATTTTGACAAGAAATTTGACAAAAAGTCACTCAAGTTGCAGTGCAATAACTGGCAAGTGATCCCAGTCGCAGTTCTCGCTAAATACTGTTTTATTTTCTTCGTGATTAATTGTTAGTTTGTCTCAGGTAGTTTATTAACGATAGAATGTGGGGAACGGCACGGTAGGTGCGGTGAAGGGGGGAGATGATAGTGAGGGTTTGCAAGGATAGTGATGAGAGGTGAAGGGTTGCAAGGATAGTGATGAGAGGTGAAGAGTGGAGATGATAGTGAAGGGTTGCAAGGATATGTGTTCTTGTTGCAAAGTGTTTCCGTGTTCAGGTATAACAACGTGTTCCCGTGTTCAGGTTTAACAACGTGTTCCCGTGTTCAGGTTTAACAACGTGTTCCCGTGTTCAGGTTTAACAACGTGTTCCCGTGTTCAGGTTTAACAACGTGTTCCCGTGTTCAGGTTTAACAACGTGTTCAGGTTTAACAACATGTTCCCGTGTTCAGGTTTAACAACGTGTTCCCGTGTTCAGGTTTAACAGCGTGTTCCCGTGTTCAGGTTTAACAACGTGTTCCCGTGTTCAGGTTTAACAACGTGTTCCCGTGTTCAGGTTTAACAACGTGTTCCCGTGTTCAGGTTTAACAACGTGTTCCCGTGTTCAGGTTTAACAACGTGTTCCCGTGTTCAGGTTTAACAACGTGTTCCCGTGTTCAGGTTTAACAACGTGTTCCCGTGTTCAGGTTTAACAACGTGTTCCCGTGTTCAGGTTTAACAACGTGTTCCCGTGTTCAGGTTTAACAACGTGTTCCCGTGTTCAGGTTTAACAACGTGTTCCCGTGTTCAGGTTTAACAACGTGTTCCCGTGAGTAATAGGGATGGCAGTCTAAACACGATATTTTGTTTTGGGAAAATATCGTCGTTAGACTGCCAGGGTTTCCAGGTGCATTTGGCTAGTCACAGATTTGGAATTAAGGAATTCTTATAAGAAAAGTAATTTCTGAGACTTTAGAAATTTGTTAAAAGTTCTTATGGTGAAAATAAGTTCATACAAGTTTGTTAAGAGTTCTTACAGGAGAAATTCAAATTTTTTCAGAGTTCATACCAAGAATAAACAGATATTTAGTCCGTATATGTTTAAGTAGGATTCTTACTTAGAAACTAGTATGTGTCTATATAACTGAATCATTACCCTGCCATCCCCCTCCCCCTTCCTTCCCAACCCCTGCTTCTCCTGCTCCTACCTCACACCCCCTCCCTCCCTCCCCTTTACCTCTCAACCTCCCGTGTCACCTGTGTTTACTTTACACCGCCTGCCAGATGCCGCATGCAGGTCACCTTCATAATCTTATCTTATCTTCTCCATAATATCTGGACTGTCCCTCTCCTTCATATTGTTCATTCATAATTCCCTACGTCGTAATGTTAGTTCCTTTTCATTATACTAGTCAGTTTTACACAAATAACAAAGTCAGTAAGCAGGGTCTAGCTCACGTTCCCCGCCTTAGTTTTACTAATACATCTTCATTAGAATCCAATCATTTTCTCTGAGATTTAAAACATAGCTATTTCAAACGTATTAAAATACAATAATTAAGTTATCGAGCTCCAGCTTCTGTCCCCCGCCGTAGTTCCCTCTCATATCCTCGTTAATACCTAACCAATCCCCGTAAAATTTAAAACAGCCATAATTCGTATGTAATAAATTAAATCACGTTAGTAAGCAAGTTCTAGCTCCTGTCCCCGCCTTAGTTTATCCCCATAACTTCTTTACTAACAGTCCAATCCCTATAAG